ATACTCACAATGTCAATCAAGTAGACATGTAGTTGCTCCCTCAACCCCTGTTCAGGCAACACTATCAAATCCAGGGGGAAAGCCCTCAGCATCAAAGGTTGCATGTCCGGGTGCACCAGGGTCACACTGAGCTCTTGCGTCTCATAAGCAGCACTCCATAAAGTGATCAAACTCTCCGAGTGTGATCGTTCTTCATGGAGGACACATCTGCTTGCAAAGTTTGAAACTTGTTGAATCTGGTGGTCGAGCATCCATGTATGCACCACGAAGGACTTTCCAGGCAGAGGTCCCTTTCGATCGGCCAGATAACTTCGCAGCACATCATATACTTGTCCATTGACTTGATCTTTCGGCAGCAAGTAGAGAACTCCATAGTGTGACTGTGGGTATGCCAGTGTGACTTCCTGCATAGGTACATCCACTAGTTCTTCGTGCCGAAAACACTGCATCAACGATTGTTCATCATGTACTGTGTCTGCTACAATCTCTGTTGAGAGTTGCAGTAGCATCCTGGAGGAAGTACAGATTAAGCCATTCTCTCTTTGTCGGGACTTGAGGAACCTTCTTTCAGAGATACGTATATCAATCTTCATCCCATGAAAGGTATTCCAGAAAGCGCCTGGCATAAAAGCTCGTCCTGCATGTTCAACTGAACAGAAGAATTCAGCAGACATACATTTCACGGTTTTGCCAACCTGTTGATACAATAGCTGGTCAGTCATCTGGGGCTGCAATCTGAGAGCCAGCCTTTCAAAGTCTGGTTCTTCTGGATCCGAAATGATAATAGCCGCAACCCGCACCGTAGCTGGGCAATCATAGTCCACCAGTACATAATAGTCATCGTTTCCTTCTTGCTCTGTGGGCGGCAAGTTTGGTACGACTGACCATAAGTCAAGATGCACATGAGGTGAGGTGGAAAATGGTCAAAAAGAACCCATCGAATTTCATTGGCTATCCATCTCCATTCGCTGATAACATCATCATCAAGTTGGAATTGGCCGCCATCATACCACTCAACAACAACAACAACAACAAGGACCAGTTTCAGGCGACGTTGAAGCGCTTCAAAGTAAGTCCTTGCCTCAAAAAGCATGTTGTCAACCTGCTCGAAGTGAGTCGAGACCGTGGCAATGTTCTGGAAAATCCGATAGATCGTCTCTTGGTCAATCGTTGCACCAATGATAATCAGTTGTTCCTGATCATCGACATCAAAATAATAGTAATCACCATCCACAATGCCAGCCTCAATCGTAGCAACACTAGGTGCCCCTTGTTGCATAACGCTCGCATCAGAGCTGGCTCTTGCTAGAGAGGAACTTTGCGTTGCTGAGTCAAACATAGTGCTCACGGATTGCTGTGTATCCGTATCGTCAAGGTTTTCCTCAATCAGAAAGATGAAAATCCCTTCATATAGTGGCACCGCCCGTCCTGGTAGATACTGTCGACCATTAGCACGAATCATGCATTCAGTATCAGTTCTACAAAGATTCTCAGGCACGAGAAGATCAAAGAGATCTCGAACTTCTGGAAAACCATCACTGCAATCGCTCCAGGCACTGGCGGTAAAGACCCTCGCATCGCTAGTGTAGTCGAAGAGCAGGGGCAGAACATGTTCATCATGGTCAACCACAAGTACAACCGGCACCTGTCCCAGACCCAGGTTTGGCAGTGGTCGGATGGGCACAATGCACATATCTGCCCTCCTAAGATGCTCAGCCCAGATTTCAAAGACCTGTTCTTCACATGGTTGGGACCGTATCAAAATCTGTTGTTTGTAGTTTCTCAGAGCTCTATCACGGTCATGCCAAGCATGGAAATATGACCGCAAGATGACTCTACTTTCACGTACTGGTGTGAGGAAAGTATCCACACCCGAAAAAGCATAGTCATGCAGATAGTCTCGATGAACAACAAGGTCCTGCTGCATCAAGGCAATACCAACAAAGTTGGGGTGTTCGCCACTATAGAGTCTGTGCTCCTCAAAATGTGGCACAAAACTTGCAAGGCCATCAAGTGCCGAATTAGCTCGACGCTGCTGCGGAGCTGCTGCATAATCAGTCCAATCATCTTCCGAACAACTGCCAGGCTCTTGTAGCTCTAGTTCAGATTGCAGGGCAAGAATGGACGGAGCAGCGTAGTCTTCTGGTTGGCAGATTCCATAGATGTTGCCGGTGGTAGATTGCTGAGTTCCACAAGACCAAGAGAACTCAGGATCCTGGTGTACAGCTTCAGGCCCAAAGGTAGGGCCTGAAAGATTTGCCCCAATATGAACAAACTCAGCTGTGGCAATATGGCAGAGTAGAATAACCCCTGTCCAGTTCAGTCCGTATGGTTGCGGTCTGAATCTCCGTGCAATGCGACATCGACCAACACAGCGTGCATTTGCAGGCATGCGCAGAAGTTCATCACATCGACCTCTATAGATCCAAAGTAGAGAATGTAGGCCAAAGGAAATCAACAAGATCTTGGCAACCCAAAAAATACAAACAAGACCAAAACTTGGATCAGTTGTAAATTCGGCACAGCATTCCAAGGGAATGATTGACAATAGATAGGAGAGGACATGCCACAGCATGGCTTCACTCGTCTGTGCTCGAATCGGCAGGCCAATGATTCTGTTTGGGCACCAAAGAGAAATGGTGGTCCGATATATACAATCAAAGGCCTGGACCAGACACCAACTCCAAAGCAGGAGATAAAGCATCCAGCGCTGTATGCACAAAAAATTGAGCTACAAAATCCGGAGGCTTCCCCAAGCCTTTTTTGTGGTTCCATCCTTCGGGATTGCATCATCACGATTCCCTCATCATGACGAAAAAGTTTTCCAGTCTCATCAATCATTCCGAGATGGGAGACCAGCTGGGACACATCAAAATAGATAGCTTGGTGGCGCGCTTGCCGCTGTAGGTTCCACAAACACCAGCTATCAGGAAGAATTTGGTAGCCAGGGGCACTGCTGCTTTGAAATCTAGCGCACGAATCCCCAAACTTCGGCAACAAATGGCCAAAATCTTTACTATGTATAGCATTACCCCAATTAGCTATACCGAAAGCTGACTGGATAGCTCCAAGCTTCAGGACATACCATTGAGTCCGCGAGGCGTCCTCAAAGGTGTCGTCCGGTGCCTTTGAATCATGCGGTCTCCTCCCATACGGAAAGGCATCAACGCTGTCTCGTTGCCTGGCACCGCAGCATCCACTTCTATAGTTGCAGCTGTGGGTAGACCAGCTTGCTGTCGATCTGCTAGCTCTTGGATCACTTTCTTGACCTCTGCTGGCTCTGAATACTTCTCCACATCCGCAATCACGTATAGTCGTTGACCGTGTCCCGCATTTCGCTCGGGATAGATGCCAACAATTCCCTGATCTCTGTCTGCTTGACTAAGTCCTGATCTCCAAGTGCTGCTGTTTCCGCACTGCGCTTCAATGGGGACCTCGACCTCCTCCTTGAGTTGCAATCGCCAAAGAGGGGGGGGTCCTCCAAACCAGTCATAGTGCCATGATACATACCCTCGGGCAGTGCAGCTGAAGGCCGATGAACTTCTTGTGGGGAATCCTTGTTCCACAGCTCGTTCTTGTGTGTGGTTTGGATCGCTGTGACCAAAGTCTGCACCTGACTGACCAGGTCCTGATTCCTCTGTTCCATAGCAGCTACATACGAAGTCATCTGGTTCATCTTGTTCTTGACCTCGTCCAGCTCCTTGGCCAAAGGTTCCATTTCCCCATTCATCTCTTCGTCTTCGTACAGCGCATCCTTTCCTTCTTCGGCCAGCTTCAGATCCATCCTGAGCTGTTGCATCTCCTTGGCATGAATCTCTTCTGCCTTCTTGAGGCCTGCGACCATACCGTTTTTCCACCTGCCATAACTTGCCTCCTTCTTGTCCAGGTCCTCTTTGATCTTCTCGACCCTGGTCAAGTTCTTCCGAGCCTTGTTGAGCTCCCTCTGTTGTTCTCTCAGCTTCTCCCTTGGATCTGGCTCGACAATCTTCTTGATGTAGTCGGGGATCTCTGCAGTGTCGTTCTTGCTGGACATAAAACGAACTGCTTCCTTGAGGCATCTGTTTTCCTCCTGCATGGCAGAGGATGTAGTGGAAAGCAAGCCAGCTGATGAACCACCATCGCCAAACTCCAACTCGATCTTTTGGCCGTCGTGACCCACCAAGACCGGCACATTCTTTCCCTTCTGCTGCTTGCCATCGTTCTTGGGCTTTTCCTTGGTCGTTTTCACTTCCTTCGTCTTTGGCCATGACTGCTTCCATTCTTCCGCTCTGTAGTTCCAGGCTTTCTGCTGCTTCCATGACATTGCAAAATCCGGAAGCCGATAACGTGGTCTACTATGATGCGGTAAAAGGACCCTCAAGGCCCTTTGAAGCTTCAGCCTAGCCTTTGTTCTGAGCCTCCTCTTTTTCTTGACACCCTGAATGAAAGATCGAGCTGCCGCTCTCCTCGATCTCAGGCGTCTGTGCCAGGAAGGTGATCTGAGTGCCGTTGGGCTCAGTGTGGATCACCAAGGCAAAGGCAGGGAGCAAATGCAACACTAGTTCCAAGTCGCCGCCAAGTTCACAAACAATGGCAGCGAGGGGCGACGAGGAACAAATGCTCTGGGGCAAACAAGAATTCCGCAGCGTTTGCCGCGGCGAGCTTGAGCCCTTGAAATGCACCTACACAAATAGTCATTTCTCCTCTCAATGCAGTATGCCAGTATGCATCTGATTCAGAAGACTTGAGTCACGGAGCTAGCTGGATCCCAGGTGCCTGCCCGAAACGGGCCAATTCCGAGGCTTGCACCCGGGGAAGACTCCAAGAGCAATTAGTCAATCTAGTCACATACCTGTAATCTAAAAGCATCAAACATGCATCAATCCATTGTTGCCAATCGTCAATACAACCCAAATCCGACAACCGTTTGGATTCAATGGCTTCCAAATCCAACAGTGTCTTCCAACAGACCTCAGTGCGTCGAAGTCATTCGCTGTGGACTTTGATGTCGAGCGAGCTTCTGTAAGGACTTCTTGTCAGTCACCATTTCTTGCTCCATTTCCTGGCCGGGATACCGTGTCGGCCCGTGTCGACACACGGTGGCCGTACACGAAACCTCATCTCGGTGTGTGCGAAACCATGCGACACCTCATTTCATTGCACAATCCATTCTGGCACAAACCGTCCAAACCGTCCTATGTGATTGTTTTCAACCTGTCTTGAACAACTATTTGCACTTCATCACTGGAGCATACTGGAGCCATCTCGTGGGGTCGGGCCGTGCTTCTTCGCAAAGGGATTGCAAAGAATACATGACAAATCAAGCCCATCGCTATTTCATTAGGTTGGAGGCCGTCGCCATTAGGTTGGAGGCCATAGCTAGTAGGTTGGAAGCAATCACTAGTAGAGTGGGTTGGAGGCCATTGCTTCTTTTTTTGTTAGACACTTTCACTGTGTATGTACACTGGGCAGCCACTATCATCCACTATCTTACTATCCCAATCACCAAAGTTTCGATTAGTTTCCAAGTGCTGTCGGAATGAGTCGTGGCCGAAACGTGTCCTTCCACTGGGCACGGATCCAGTCCTCTGCCAGATTTAGCACGTCATGGGCGCGAGCTTCAGCAAACGTGTCGACGACCACCTCATCGGGATGCAAGTCCGGAACACTCCATGCAACCGGCATCTCTTTGATCCTTTTTGCCCAGTGTAAAACCATCGTATGACTCTTTGCAATGTCCTGAAGTCATGTTGTCGTTCTTTTGTACTCTTATAATTCTCTTATATCTCTTATCGTTTTGTCAGGCGGTGGGCTCTGTGCACTAGAATTTTGAACTTTCTATCCAGCTTTCTGTGGGTTTGAAAGCAGCCTTGGTCGAAAGTCAACAAATGTCATCTGTTCCTTTCGTTTCCTTTAATTTCGCATTCATGTCCTTTCATTTTGCATTCTGTTTCTTTCAATTTCCTTAAATGGGTCATGTGGGTATCCTCCCAAGCGCTCGCATTTTTGCAATATTTCGTTATCGTTTTGGAGGCCTGTGCAGGTTACCATCTTCAGGGTTCATGAATATGTACATGTAATTACATGTATAAGCTCGTTATCCTTTTATTTTTTACGTTATTTGTTTTTTTACTCTTATCGCTTTCTGGGCCAGCAATTCATTAGTAGTGTTAAGGTGCGGCGGCCAATACAAAACTGCTGAGCGTGGGGTTATGTAAAAACAGCCCGGGGAGCGTGTTTTAGGGGATCAATGTCACTAGTCAGTCATAGTCTTCCATACATGGAGTGGCTGGGAATTGGCTGCAACAAATACGACTTGCAATCGGCGACTTGCAGTTTCTCATTTTGTTGCAAGTGACTTCCAATCGATTTGATGTTTTAGGAGCCCGTCGATGGCGTAGCATGCTGGGATTTTGCAATGCTATGGTTTACAAAGTTCTAGTCGATTGCGCAGCCACATGTGGGGTCTTGACCAGCATTTCATTTCAGCCAAGCGTCGGCTACAATCAAATTCAACACCTGAGTCTCGAGACGGGTGAACGGTGGGTCAACTGAGAACACAGCATGTCTAAGCCAAGAAAGAACATGCCGTTGAATGCACATGTGTCCATATTTATTTGTATTTGCGCTAGACCTGGTAGCAACAATGAACATCTGCAAAACTATGCGCAAGGTGTCTTGTGGTTATGACATCCATTCTCGAAAACAGTCTCCTTCGAAGCCTCCTCCACCCCTACGAAAGCATCATCGAACATCATCGAACCAAGTGCCTGCAATGTCCTCCTCAGCATAAACACACAACCAAACACAACCTGACGACACCCCAGCACCAACCCCCCACATTACAGGTTGACCCAATCGACCGGTTGCTCCCGGTGTCGACACTTCCGGACGACCCAATGGGGGACGGACCGGCACGATACCCCCGGCCGGATGCCGCTGAGGGCCCTGCGCCGAAGACCAGGGTGAGTTGAGATCCAACAAAAATGATCGCAGTGGCGGGATAGGCCTAGCAACACTTCGCAGGACGGAGAGATGGACTCTGGCCTAGAGATAGCTTAATCATGCTTAATCTAGGATCGCTAGGATTGTAAGAACATGCAGGGTTTTTCGCACCATTCGAGGATTTTCATTCTCATCTTCCTGTCTTCCCCACATCTTCCGACGGCTCACACCCCTCAACCACCCCTTCGCGTTGTTGCTTTTTCACCGGTGGCTCTCAACAAGGGAGGACCGCGGCGCCTGAATCACGGGCACCGCGATCTCTCCCCAACTATCACCTGCAATGACTGTCCTTGGTCCGTCGAGTGATCGACCAGATCGACCAAATGTGCGGACCAAATGACTTCCCCATTGGACATGATTATCGGATTATCTTGGTGGGGTCCAAATCGTTTTCCAATGTTTCTTCAATTCATATACTTGACATACGGGCACATAGACTCAAAATGACTTAAACACAAAGTACATTATTGTGGTTTCAGATGCCATCTCACAACCACAGAGAAGAGGCTTACAGTGCTTTCTGCACAGGAATGGCACGGCACTTGTTTTATTCGCTTGGGTTCTTGTGGCACTGGGCAGCAACGCATAAGCGGAGTTAGGAGCTTGGCCAATGAATAAAAACCAGTACATAATGTGTGGAAGATACGGAGTGCCAGACGAGACTGTTAGGTTATCGTTCGCTTATCGTTTGGAGGATCGTTTGGGAATCTGATATGTCCGAGGAAAGTCATCGGAAAAATCCTGCGAGGTCCTTTCAACGGAATGCAATTGGTTTAAGGCAAGGCAAATTGCTGATGATGAAATGCTTTGCCCCTCGGTTTAGCTCAAATAACAATGCACATGCAAAAAAGACATTATAACGATAACATTTTTGCACCCACGACATCTAAAACAATATTATCGTTTTTGGTGGGGACCATCGCTTTCCACAGAAGCAAAGCCCTCAACATAGGTCAGGGTAATGCCTTGACTAAATAAGTCATATGAGACTCAATGAGAGGATACGCGTATTTGCAGAGAATACCCCCTTTTCTTAATTCTAAGAAGTCATTGATGCTCTCAATTCAAGTAAGCAAACGCACTATCAACATATACCAGCATCTTCATCCCCAAAATGGGCCCCAATGGCAAGTCTGGGTTCCCCATCGGCCACCACCAAGGTGCTTGAACAGCAGCAGGTTTGCATTCATGACCTTGGCCATGCAGGTTGCACACCATCAAATTTGCCGTTCCGTTCGTCGATGGCCCTTCCGTTTGTTTCACCTCCGTTCGTCACACCAAGTGACGGAGCCGGTGATATCCACACAAAGCTCACCGCAGTCGGGGAACTTCTCCGGGCCCAATTCCCAGATGATCCTCAGCGTCAGACATCGTGACAATCCGATCCTTGCAATTGATCTCAAAGGGCGAACAACTCGGACAACGCCTGGTGACAGGTATAGACCTTCTATAATGTTTGTTCTGTTCATGATGATTCACATTGCATAAAACCCTCCAAATGAAGAGGTTTTGCAATCCACATTCGGAAGGTTTATTCATCAAGAGTCTATTAAATGTCTACTGCATGACCTGTTCCTTCACTGTCCTCCTGTCCGGCTGGAGATTCTCTGTCCCAACGATCTTAGGATGGACCGTTGGGGACTCGTCCAGATCCAGACTGTCCGACCCAAAGACACTCACGGGGTTCAAAGACACTCACATGGTTACGTGGATGGCATGGCCCTTATGTGGATGGCATGACCATGCAATCCGAATTCCAAACAGGGTGTGCCATCCACGTAAGCATGTTAGTTCCAGGGAGAGTAGATGTCCCTGTCCGAAAACTTCCCGCTACTCAGCAACCTGCCATCACTGATGTCAGGCTATGATAATTAAGAGACATCCTAGCGGCTAACACATCTTGATCCATGCCTGTCCCCATCGGTCAAACACAGTCAAGAACTAAGCCTAAGCCATTGGCGGATAGACCATCTCCACCATCAGCATTGCCCAGAAGCTCCTAAGCATTTTCATCCGCTGCCCACAGCACAGCGATTCTCATAGCCTGTTTCCATCCTTTTCCAACTGCCTCAAACATTCCTTCTGTCAAGATTTGGACCTTCTGACTGGAACTGTCCGGTCTTTTCTGACTTAAGAACAAATCGAGAATTGCCAAAGCACATCACTCCAAAGCAAATCAGAAAAGACCATGCCAGTGCTTTCCTGAGCGCCGGAAACGGAACCGAGTTACGGAACCGGTCTCCGTCCGGAGAGTCGGCGGTCCGGACGTCTGGAAGCCATTTGGGACGGCCGTTCGCAAGTGTGCCGACGGTAGTTTGGGGAAGTCCAGTGGGATGGTGATGTTCTGATGAGTGGGTACGAGTGGGTACCTTAGGTGAACCACCCAACTAGCTGCTAATCCCTGATACTCTTGGGATGGTTTTGACGCACCAGGTCCCCCCAACTTTGATCCACAGCCATCTGAGGGCAAGCCACATGCAGGTTGCCATCATTGTCAGCAGTCGGCGAAGCCTCATGCAAATCTTGAGAAAAACTGGGATTGGAAAGCGCTTGCGGCAGCGCCCGGCAATGCGGTGCTGCAAGGCTGCAAGGGAGGGGTCCGTAATCTTTGTTGAGTTTTTGAGGGGGACACCCAAGCATACAAGGACTTTAAGGCTTCTAAGGAAGAAAAACGTGGATCGGCAGTGCACACCTTGTGCCAAAGCTGCCTTAACTTGGACTTCCTCTTCTTTGAAGAGATCAAAGTTGCAGCGACGATGCGTTGTCTCTTGCACATGTGCTTAAGTGCGCACACAAAACATACATAAAAATATATTATGTGATATATTATGATATCCTAAACTATTTGAGTCTGAAGACTTGGCTGACAGTGCACTTGCATAGTATACCGTTGATGTGTCTCATCTTTCCTTCTTTTTCTTAATAGAAACTTCATCCAAACTTCCACCTTTTCAATCCGAACTTCCCCTTCGAACAACCGGTCATGTTCCGTCTCGACTGCGTGACGCCGCCGAATCCGCTCCGAGAGACTCCTTGAGCGATGCGCTCTTGCGAAGAATCCGCGTGAGTCCTTCGGTACGACACCGACCCAACAGCGAAGGAGACGAGACCGTTGGACCGTTGGGTTTGGATGGATCTTGACAGTTCCCAAATCATCCATGGGACTGGAATAGTGATAATAATACATAACCATAACTTTGTTTCTATACATTTACTGACCCCATGAGTTATGGCACGAATGTATGTATACAACATGCAACTATTCCAGTCCCATGGATTCGGTACTTGTTAGCGCTTCTAGACATGCTTCTTTGCTAGTTTTACTTGGCTTGTATTCTAAACCCCTCAGAACCAACTTTGGGGGAGAAGCGGAAGAAGCGACATGGTTCATCAGCACGACAACACCGCTATGTTCCAAAAAAGCGTGAGCATGGCCCAGTGTCCGATCGCCCAAGATTACAGTGATTACAGCCTTTAAGTGACATAAGCGCGCAGACCCATTTCGGCTCTACAGGCTGGCAAAGTCAGAGATCTATTTGATCGGTGTGGCTTTTCTGAGGTGAAGGGCACGGAATCTGGGCCCGGAATAGGCATGATTCTCAACATGAGTAAATACGCCGCCTGACATGCCAGGCGTACTTTGGCATGCGGAAAACGGAACACGGATAATCTTGAATCAAGCGGCGCAGTATTCTTGCGACCCGCAGCAATCGCAGCATCCCGACCCGTGTCATGGCATCAAACATTCCCAAAGCACTGAGAATCAACTCAGCCTGGCAAGGTCTTTGGCAGATTTCTGATCAGCTTTACGCAAAGTCCTAGTTTGGCAGAGACGGTGACAGTGACACACACACACAAGTACATGATCTATGGTTTGGAAAATGGCCATAAAATCACCACTTCCCTCTTTGATTGCGTCGATTTGACGGGTCACTTCTCCTTGTCTTTGCTTCTCAGCCTACCACCGGTTCTTTTTCACCCGCCAAGTGGCGTAGCCGCACACGAGCACGCCCAGATCCACCCTCAGCGAGCGGCAGTTGAATTTGGGCACTCGCTCGGACCGTGCGCTGAAAAAGAGCCCGAACGCGGATCTGAAGCAAATTCCCCACGTCTACATTACGTATCTAAAAAGACAACCATTTGGATGGTAACACCATGTAACACCTCTTTATAATCTTTATATGGGTTGTTGTTGTTGCTGCTGTTGCTACATATTCCTACTACGTATGATTTATCCACGATCTACGAAGGTCAAAGAACCCCCCAAAGACATATCGCCTCTTTTCTCGGTGTCCTCACGCCATCACGGTCGTGAACACTGGGCTCGTTTCAGAGTGTGCACATTCTCTGCTGGCCGAGTCTCATGAAGAGAAAGTCTCTCCACAAGGTCTTCATGACACAAATTCCACGCACTGAGAAGAACAAGATCAGCTCCAAAGTGTACCTTTGACCAAAGGGATACAGCAGGAGGAATTGATGTACTCCAATGTACTCCCTGTTTAGAGGATCAACTGTCGGACATGGCCCCCTGGAAACCCGGAATCGATCGACAGCAAGCTCTCTGTGCTTTGCGCGAGATATCATCGACCGGTTTCACCAGGAATCGCCGGGCCACTTCGGGGATGTTGGGTTTGACCCACAACCATGAGGTGAAACAATCGATTCATAATCCCCCCCCTTTCCGTTTGGATTGAACAACCCATATAGAGGTTTAGCGGTTTCATTGATCAACAGTCTACATTAAAGGCCGGCAAACCCTTCACGATTTTCCTTCATCGATGGCTTCTTCCAAAGGCGTCCCGTTCGCTTGGAGTTTTGGCGCCAAGCTGCACCACCAAGCATAAATCAGATGCGACAGACACCACAGTTGGGGTTGTAATCAAAGGGTCTGTAATACTTGCTGCTCTGGCATCAATGTCGTAGCAAGTGAGCCATGCATCAAACCTCAGGCCGCAGGCCGCGTTGTTGTGACCAAAGCAAAGCCATGAGCTTTTGTATAAACAATATGACTGCGACCGCGTAGCAAGACAACAATTGCAGTCACATTGGCCAAATAATTGTCGTTTATCAAAGAGTGCGCCACGGCACAAATCCTGCCGTCGCGATGACAGTCGTTCAATCGAAGGTTGACGATCAAAGGCCGGGGGTGGTTGAGAAGGGGCGATCGCCAATCAGCCAAAACATCACACATCGTTTTCCCTGGGAACTGGCTTCTCATCAGAACTTTGAATGAAGCTGTGTCAAATTGCGATGACACCAAGAATATCTAGAATATCTACCTGCAAAAGTCACTCCATAAGGATCCATAAGGAATTAATTGAAAGGATTCTCCAGGTGGTTCTCCCTTTGGACATGAAAAAACAAAAGAGTGCAGTTCATCCAAAGAACCGGACTTAAATGGATGCAAACAGCTTGTTTGGCCGAAGAAGCTTTGAGGCCCCACATGGCACACTGCCATCTGTGGCCTTTCAAAAACAGATTGCATCCATTCAAGTCCATCTCTCCCTCGTGGCATCTGTCGAATGTCATGGGATGGCACGCGATACTTGCAACATCGAACACCCGAAACACTCGTCTCAACGCTATTAGTAACAAGTGCCACGCTAGTAGTAACAGGTGCCTTACTAGTAGTAACAAGAAGCTATTAGTTACTCTTCAAAGCTCGTTACGAATTCATGTACAAAACACGATTCCGGGTCGCCGGAATCCAACAGAACACCTCCTCCCCCTCCAGAGTCCTCGCCATGATCCATCCCCTGGATTGATGTTCTGACAAGGAGGACACGATCGGCTTGGTCCCAGCTTTGATAAAGTCGCCCAAGGCGGGATTCACCTGCGATCCTGAGGCGGGGCTGGGAGGCCGCCGGCCCGGCCCGGCCGGCTCGGCCCGGCTGTGACCTTTTCTGAAAAGGCAAGCGAACGGTGGGGACCCTGCGCCGGCCGTTTGCTCAGTCAGTTTCAGATTGTTTTGGGGCTTGGACTGGTGAGGGTGCAGTTAGTACTGTGTATATATATATATATATCGATGTTCGGGATGGTTTTGGGGGTTTGGATCTTTTTGGGGGTTGCATCGAGAGACTGTCCCCCTGTTCTCAAACACACCAGTTGTTTCTTTTTGGGATAGTTTTTGAAATGCCTAACGAAGCATTGTTTTGATATGAACGATTCCAAAACACACACTGATCGAAGGCCCCTCCGAAAAGGAAAAAATCACACACGCTGTTCTGCCGTTCCGCCAGTTCTGCCGATACCAAGTGACTCCTTCTGCCAGCCACATCTGGACTGATGGCAATACTTCCAAGGCCTTGGCGATGGTATTGGGTCGACATGCCTTTGCACAGTGCGCAAAGTGTTGGAACTTGTACACACTCATCCAGACTCATCCAACAGCTAGTAAGCTGGAGCCAACCTGACTATATATGGAAATCTATATTTTATTATAATCGTTTATAATAAATTGACTTTTTGGATGACCGGATGACCGGGGACGCACCCCTACTCTTGCCACCCGGTGGATGCAACAGAATGTACTCTTTGCTAGTGAAGGAGCTGGCACTTGAACCGCTCCTGGACAGCTGATCCTTGCAAACAGGTGCGCGACCCGGGATGACCGGGCATCCAAAGTGAACATCCACATCGGCAGGAAGCAATTCATATGCGAATCAACTGAGATCATTCGGGTTCGTACCCATAACAACAAGTCAACAGCCAACAGCTGCGGAAACGCCTCGCAGCTTCAAAACATCCAAACATTAATGGTTATATAGGCAGTTCGACGGCAAGTTCGATGTTGAGAGCCCTCCCCCTTTTTTTCGACGTAACGTCGCACGCTCTGAAAACATCTGAACACCATGAGACACGTCACGTCTTCTCTTCCCCCATGCAACGCCCGGTTCCGCACCACCGAGTGGTCCGGTCACGCGTCGTCGTTCTTTGGCGGAGCGACCCGGGTCGAAGCCTCTTAGGATGACTCATATAACATCCTATCATTGAAATGACATCCTATATGCTACTGTCCTCTTAGGATGACTCCTTAGCAAGGGAAATGGACAGTAGCCTCTTGCAAGGCTATTTTCCCCTGCAACCCTGGACACCGTGCTCGTTGGAGTGAGTGTAACCCAGCTGAACATACGTAGTTTTATGAACCGAGTTATCCTCTTTTTGCGGCTGGATTTGAGATTTGATGCCACCCTCAGCCCGAGTCCAAATAGTTACCATGTTGTTCCAGTTTTGAGTCATTTTCGTGGGTGAGAGGATATGTGTTTTTCTTATCTTTTCTTTGTGTTGGCATACCAATTTTACTTTACGCATCTTTCCTCAACGGTTTTTTTGGTTCTCACGACCTTCGGTACCGTGCGCTGCTTCGGTTCCCGTGGGATCCTCCGCGATGCGATCCTCGAGCCCGTTCGGGGGAGGAGTGCCCGTTCGGTCGGTGGGTTTCGCTGGGATTCCAAGCGATCAACTCAATCATTGGAGTGGTTGGAATCCAATGCGGCTGGGCGGACGAGGGACCAGGGTTCACTTGGATGGACCTCTCTCGCAGAACGCCCCAAGTCGCCCCCGAGTGAAAAAAGACGTCGGTAACGGTCACTCACGTCGCAACTCCCTTCCATGTCGGGGGTGTTAACGTCACCGGTTTCCTATTGGTTTCAGGTCCCTGGGGGGTGAGCTCCGTCCATCGTCCGTCCTCGGACTCGCCGGAGGCGTCGGGATCGGAATAGGAACGATCTCCTTGGATCCGAAAGGATCTCAATGGTGTGGAGTCATTCCATCCCTCCATTTCCCGGATATGGCAACTATCAGATATGGCAATCAATTCTGAAAGAGATCCCCAAATAGAAAGGCAAATTCATGTGATCTATTGCGTATATCCATGTATATCCCAAGGCGAATCCATCGCTTCTATCTATGTGAGATTGTTGCATGGAAAAAGTGACTCGCTCCACTTGTGGAACGATGGGAATGATGGAACATATGCACAGTTGCGTCCAACTGGGCAAGCATCTTTGATTCTACTCTCGAAAAAGGCACCCAATCTATATACATCTATAGAAGCTTTTCCAAGCACAATTCACACCTTCCTCTGAACAGAATTCAAAAAAAAGAACATGCTCTATTTAATGGCACCAATGTAGGCAATTCAAAACCTTCGGTTCTTCTCTCCAAGACATGCCATCGGGTGGTCAATCCAAGGTACTTGATCGCTTCTTCTTCTTCTTGGCCTCCCGTGCGACGTTTTCATGGAATCGAGAAAAACAGGTCTTTCATTCACTCCCTTCAGCTACCAGATGCTACCATGCAAAAACCCATCGGTTTTTTGCTCCTGCCGCCGCACCTTAGGAGTGGAAGATAGCGCACTTCTGGAGTTTCGAGATCCTGGAGAAAGAGATCCAGCCGACTTCAGGCTGCCTCCGGAGAAGGGCCGTGGAGTCGTGGAGACCGTGATGGACGCAGGTGAGGCTTCAACCGATGCGGTGATGGACGTGATCAATTGACACAGTGGATCAACGCTTAGCAACATGATGAAGATTTGCCCCAGCCCTCACTGCCCTCACCTTCAATTTCCAGAAAGATTGACCTGGTTTTGTAAAACAATGCTTGCTGCTTGTTTGGGATTCAGACCATTATATAACACAATAGTTGGCCAGGAATCTGTTCAACCTGACAATCCTACCAGGAGTTCCTATTGGATTCAGTCTGTGGCAGGTGTTATCACACGAACGGCCCTCGACCTCGGTGACCACCGAAACGACCACGGTGGCTGCTTTTCATTGGCTTTTGCACTTTCCTGAATCAAAGATATCAACGGGTCTTTGTATTCCAAGCTCCCTCGAAACAACGGGATCTCTTATATAGTTTAAACATGTTTAAACATCCTTGAATCAATGAGATCCTGATTTGGGGGAGCATGTGGACCGTGGAATGACACATTCGATCACATTCGATCTTTCATTTCGACATCGACGTCGCCAATCCTTCTTCCATGACATCATCCAGTTGCATGCTGACCGGCCAGAAGCCTGAGAGGACATGCTGGTGCATCTATCATCTGCTATGTACTGTACACAAATATGCTGCAAGCACTGCAAATGTGTTGCGAGCGGGGAAACATCGTTTCATTGGTGCTCCCGGCTCGAAAACTTGTTCCTCCTTGAACATATATTAATATATATATATTTTTTTTAACTTTCCAGCAAACAACCTGATTTGGAGATATTTGGAGCTGCTGCATGCAGAACATCTCTTCACTGGAATTGCCAAATGCACTTGAATATACTTGAATGTCCCGTTGCTGTAGAGAGCCTGTCCATACCTGTAGGACCGCAAATCCTCTTCAATCTTGGACATCTTTGTGCGCTCCTGCTATCTCCTGCTACTTTACAAACATTTGGAGGCCATCACTAGTAGGTTGGGGATCCCAACGTTGCCCGCCTTCTCCCACTGTTGCGTCCAGGGCACGAGACTTGAGGGTGCGCTGGGCAGTTCCCCAAAGCGGTTCGACGTGGAGAAACGCTGAAGTCGACGTGAAACCACGGTGGACTCGGCGTGAAACCACATGGCACACTGGATGGATCGGAAAGATTCTGTTCCTATCTTTTCCTCATCACCCCTTCATCCTTCATCTCGTATCGGTTTTGAGCTCTCACGTGGGGTCGATCAATGTGTCGGCATGCGTCGGCTCAAAACAAGTAATTAGACTAAAACACACGGTCACAACAATTTACAGAATAGTCACTGACAACTCCCAAGGCCTTGCCCATCCCATGCGACACATCTAAAGGACATCTGAATCTCGGAGATTAGATATGTCACGATGTGTCGCTCCTCAAAATGACATTGAGGCTGTACCTTTAGGCTTCAGGGGAACACCTGTCCAGGCACACCTGCTTGTAAAACTCAGAAAACATCCCAATGAAATCTGCCTCTCACCTCCAGGTCATGTCGCCCCATGCCCTCCACGCGCTGTGCGCGGCCCTGCACGCCGTTTTTGTCACTGTCCCACATCTGCCATGAGCGCGGTGAACTCATCTGACAGCTGCCTGCTTGCATGGGCACGGAAGGGTTGACCGTTGGCGCATCGCCAAACTGGTTGACCGTTGGCTCATTTGGTGGTGCGACACATGTGGCTGAATGGCCTATCAAAGTCAACCTCAGAGGGTGAAACGGGCGGTTTTGACCTGGTTTTCATCTCCGTGACCGGACCCAGAGAGAGAGGGAACGGCTTCTCTGAAGACCAGACCAGCCAACTGCGGACCGCAAACAGTACTGCAAACATAGTACTACTGTAGTTCTACTCCCTACATGGTATCTAGATCCTAAAACATGTGGGTCTGGAATGGTTTCGCTGAAAAAAACATCCAACGCAACTTGCGACTCCAGAGCATCCTAGACCCCGTGGCATTCACTCAGAAATACTGGTCAAAAAGTTGTTTGTTTTTTCCGGTAGAACTCCAAACATATCCAAACCTCTGGAATGAATTCTAGAATGGTCGGAACAACATTATTAATCAAAAATCAAGGTCTGGAAGAACATGAATCGACGGCATAAAGGAACAACGAGAAAAACGCATCTGTCGTTCCAGTATTTGCAATGATTGCACGCCCTGCCCCCCCCCGAAGGATCAATGTGCACCAGAACTTCAGCATCATGATGCAATATTGTCATGTACAAAATTCTGCCAACATGGATGTAGGTGTCATGCAAGTATACACTGCGCATCTCAGCAACCGATTTTAATGTGGCTGAACTTTTGCCAAGAGGATCCGATAGTGATGAACGGTGTAAGGTCAAGGGTTTTATTTCAAAATTATTCAACTTCCAGGGCTGGGAAAGCATTGCTCAACCAACAAGGACAAAAACAAAGCACCAACAAAATATGTACCACAACACCATGTAAAACCACACATCCCTGGCTATGTGAGTTTCTTCAGGTCATCGTGAACTTTGACGCAAACTTCTTCAGGGGGTATCTACTTGATCAGAACCTCTCCAGCCTGCTGCTTGGCCAGCAAATTGTCAAATGATCTTGCTCTTTGAAGCGACAGGAACTCGCCATAAAACATAATAGATCATAACAATAAACAAGTCTATCTCAGTGCACATCAGGAAACCCAGCTTGACACACAATGGGCGACTCAAACACTCACCCGCCTTGATGGATTTGTAGCCTCTGATTTTGCCTGTTGACAAGGCAACTTGGACCTTTTCCATCCATTACGAGGCACTGGAGAAGGGAATAGAAGGGAGAAGAGGCTTCTGTACACTCTTGCAGCGAGTCATGCAAGGCTTTCCCTTGGCCGACATCGACCAATGCGCAAGGCTCCCCCCACCTTCTCTGCAACAGCAATTCGGCGCAACAGCTCCTTTTTGGCAGACTGCACCTGGGACATCAGGCTGTTGAAGCAGGGAACAAGTCTTGTAGAGCTCCTTCAAACATGTAACATCTACTCCATGGTGAGACTCTCCTTGGAACCCTGAAGAATCACCCTGGAACACAGTTTGTAACATGTTGCAAACGTGCATCATCTCTCCTTGCTGGCACCGTCCGGCCAGTTTTCAGCCGTTGAAATGGGTGGAACGTCCCATCATCTCCATCTAGTGACTCTAGTGGTCTTGGGATGTCAACCCCCGTATGATGCCAGACTCTTTCCCCAGTCTTCCTATCACCCCTCCCCAGGACTTGGCCCAGTCTGACTCGTGACTCCTCTGACTCGTCCCAGTTCTTGGGAGGTCCAGATGTCCCGGTCCCCGCCTGCTCTTGAGTCCCGGGTCCAATGAGGGCCAAGAGTTCCCCACTCTTCGGCGGCATCAGGGCGATCATCACGTTACCGCACGGCTCCCGCACCTGGTGGACGGAGCCGCCGGGGGTGCGGTACCGTGCCCGGCCCGCGGTGGCAGTGGTGTAGTACCGTGTTACCGTGTTGGGTTTGGTCTGAAGCAAGAACATGTCTATACCAATGCTCGACTTTTTTTTTGATACAGATCCCGATTTGGTCATGGACGAAGTCAACCATCCCAAATCGGATGTCACAGGTGAACAGTGAAGTTATTTCTGGAGGATAGTCTCAATGGCTTGTATGGCAAGAGGGACCAGCTCTCCAACTTTAATTGAACAATTTGGAGAGTTGATGCCTTGGCTGGACGTGGAACAAATCCCACGATCCCTGCTTTTGGGCCGGTCCCTCAAAAGTCACGACATGGAGGTGTAGATTGGGAATTTGCAAACAGCAAATCCTCCAACCACTGGGGTTTGTATACTGTAGTTTAGTTGGGTTGATCAAAAGGTCGACATAAGGCCTAGGTTCATTGAGAGCCTCTTATGTTTCTTGCGAAAGCTTTTTTCGAGTTCGCGAACGTATCTTTTTCACGAAAGATCTGCGAAGATTGGTATGTGGAACCAACCAAGCCAAGAAGAATTCTAGCATATATACTGGCCGGCAAAAGTTACACATGGGTTCGTCAAAGATTCGCGAAAGTAAAGATCTGTTTCGCGAAGAATGGAGTTCACGGCGTTTCCGTAAGAAGGAACTTGGATCAACCACCATGTCCGCTTTTCCTCGAATTTCTCTGTTCAACAGCCACCTGCTGGCTTGCTTTCATTGACCTTTCCTAGGTCCTAGGCCGTCCGTGAACGGTCTCCTCTCCGCCCAGGAGTGCCACTTAAGCCCTCATTGGTGGACTGGTGGCACGCGTTCCCGTGATGTTCCAGTGAGTGGTTCCTGGACGTTCCTGGAACTCCAAGTCAAAACCACCTTATGTTGGGTACGAATGCAAAAAAAGCTGGAGGCCATCGCTCTTAGGTTGGAAGCCATTGCTACTAGGTTGGAGGCCATTGCTATCAGGCTCCTTTTGCTGTTTTCCTCCCAAACCTCGATCTGACGCATCGCGCCGGCCTTGGGCAGATCTCGGCCGTTGGGTCCGAGCGCAGCACACAGGAGTGGCTCCGGAATGGACACCTCTTCCTGGAGGTGGTGGCAAAGAAGGGATCCAATTCGGGTGGTCCAAAGGTGGTTCACTCGTTTTCATCATCCGAACCAACAAATGAGCTCTGGACAACATCTATGACACATGATTTGGCCTGATTTTGCCTAATCCTCATGTGTGCCACCAGCAACCTGTTTTGTAATCATTCGAGGGTATTATAGTGGGTGGGTTTCTACCATCATCAATCAATTCTACGGTTCTTGCTCACGGACTTCTTATGGACTATCAATAACGTACAGGAAACACTGATGGAGTTAACATATGACCAGCAAGAAAGTCAATGTTCCTTATTGCCCTGCAGAGGACCACATGGACCCCTAAAACCACTGGGTTGTAGAGGACAATTGTCTTCCACTGGTCAATTCTCAGGTTCCATGTTGGTTTGCGGGAGAGTAGCCCTCGCTTTTTCTGCCGCACTTGTGCCGCTGAGTCTCCATGTGACCGCTCTCAGCCTCAGCCTTTGCTTTCCTTTCGGCCTGGAGGATGGGGGCATTTTCTCCAGGAAAACCAGCTCCTTTACCTCATTGCCTAGTGTTTTTATATCACCAACTCCAGTAAAATGAGGTCTTTGACCTGTAGGGCCTGAGTATTCAGAGGTCCACTGAAAGGTCCATGAGCAAAACACGCAGTTGTTCCTTCACGAAACAGCAGCGGGCCATCTTCCTTCAACTGGTGGAGGACATTTTCTTGACTAGCAAAGGGCCCAACATTCCCTCATCAAAACGACGAAGAATGTGGAGATGCCAGGAGATGCACGCGAATGGCAGCACCTGGACAAATGACTTGTGGATATACGTACATGGACTACCTTCATGTTTGGGATGCTGACATCCCAGTTGAAACAACAAATACCCTTCTGAAGCTCAAATCTTTGGCTTGGCTCTTCTGGACAAACTCTTTGGCGCTACTACTTGAGACTGAACATCTGTTCATAAACGGCCAAAGCCAAGTAGTAGCTCTCCATTGAGCTCACACCAAAAGACTGACTTCCAGCACCCTGGTTGAAGATCTCTTGCCTCAGCAAAGGGTTCAAAATGCAGCTCGATTTGCGAGACAGCCCTCCCAACAGCGTGCTCCGTACCGGAGATCTTGATCTCAGTGTCCTGCATCATTGAAAGCCTCAAACGGCTAAAAAAGGTGACATCTAACACAGTTTCAATCCAATATACATATTCTATCTATACAGGCATTCAGATTATATTCATGCGTTTCGTGACTCCTTCCTTTCCTTCAGGCGAGCCTTATAAAGGCTTTAGGACATGTAGAAGTTCTTCAATATTATGGCTGACCAACGATGTGCGTGCATAGTATGGTATGATTAGCTGATCTGGTAGGATCTGCTCCCTGAAAGCCTGAAAGCTACTTTGGGTGAGTTGGATGCATCTACAGTACAATGGATTCAATGGCACCAGTGAGTCCTTGGGCTTCATGTCTACGGGCTGCACGCTGATGTTCACCATGCAATCCTCAATCGAACACAACAAAACAAGGCAACGCAAGGGTTGTACACAACTGATGTGCTTTGCCAATCTGCTGCCGTTTGCCCTCAGCTGAACGAATTTGGGTCAGAGTCATAGTAATGATACTGGCCATTGGAAAT